GGAAGCTTGTCAGGACCGGCACTCGAAAACAAAATCCCGAAACCCTTTTCATCTCCTCGTGGACCTTATACCAAATTTAAGCCTAAGCATCTCCTACACATTTGCACCAAAGTCTCGTGATGATTGCGCACTGTCCGTAATGTATTCTCCCCGAGCACAATTTTTTTTTTTTTATAACGCACGCTTCCGCCAAAGTTTTTGCGACAAAGTTTAGGACTCTGACAATAGTAATTATTCCTCGCACGCTTACGGTATTCGTTTCTGAACGAACATTATAATGGCCTGGTCATAGGCGCAAGGAACACACACACACACTCGCACACAATTATTACGGACCGCCGTCATCGGAGACGTTTGAAGGACATTGTGACGACAGCGGTAGTATAGTGGGGAAATTAGTTATGTAGAAAGGTGTTTATGGGTCGATCGCGCGAGCGTGTGTGTGTGTGTGTCATCCGACAATCCTATTATCGTGTAAGCTAGTGTGTATACCTATGTATTTTTGTGAATATTATTCCACATATTTTTTTTTTTAAACCGTTAAATAGATATCAACTATTACCAAGTACAAACTACTAACGGGTACGTTATGTATATTTTCCATTATTATTTTGCGTGCACACTTAATACATAATGATAACGTACACAACACGCGTATATCATTATGGTGGCCTAGCACTAAAGTACAAAACTCGACGACGAATATCACGATATTATTTATTACTATTCCTGCTTTCCGACTGTGATATTGTGCACGGTCGACGGTCTCCGTTTCACCGAGGTTTAACTATCGATTATTATCATCACCGGCGTTCGTTACCGAATACCGGGTAGCCGGTTATATCGGCGTGAGGTCGTGAATCGTTGGCGAGTTCGATTTGTAGAAAGCGAAATATACGCACACGCAATATTCAGCACGGCAAAGCAGTTTGTGTGTGTAATTTCACACATACGAAACACGGGCGATTCTCTCGTGCACCGCACGCACTCGGCACACGAGCGAAACAACAATTATAATCACCATAATTATTGTCGGTCGCCACTGAATAATAATAAAAATAATCGTCATCCGACGCGATATTATACTTTCGACCAATTCGCGTGCCGCGGAGGTGGTGGTGGTTCAACGACCCGGGCGGCCGGGCCCCGTGGAAATGGGGTCAATTTTCGTATTTTACATTTTATATTTTAACTCCGGAAAACCGAACAAAAATATGCTGCTATGGTGTATGCAACAATTAATATTTCTGTGAACCGGAAAAAAAAATTGAGTAGAAAATATTAATGACAATTTTTAATGTTAACATATTATTATGTTAACGGGTTTACGACTTATCAGCACGGCCCATTGTCGCGTCAATAGCTTGTCGTTCCGGTGTTTCAGTGACAAGCGCCACAACTGGCACAAAACAAAATTAT